ACAGTTACACACGGTATAGGGACTAGGTGAGCGTAGTCAAGTGTGTAAACGCTTAAGGCATCACGTAGTGCACACAAGTGTGAAACACTAAGGCATCAGTGCACATGTGGGAGTGGTGTGTGTCGCATGTGTGACGCGAACGTGTATGTACGTGTCGCACTGGTGTCACATGTGGGAGTGGTGTGTGTCGCACATGTGGCACATGTAGGAGTGGTGTGTCGCACGTGTGACCCGTACGCATGTGTGAAGGTGTTTTTGAGGCTTGAACCGGTACACGTGTGTACCGCTCGTGTCACACGTACACACGTGCATACATGTGCGTGTGGCACATGTCAGAGTGTGTACCGCTCGTGTCACACATACACACGTGTGGGAGTGGTGCGTGTCACACATGTGGCACATGTGGGAGTGGTGTGTGTCGCACATGTCGGAGTGGTGTGTCGCACGTGCGCTTGTGAAGGTGTTTTTGAGGCTTGACCGGTGCACATGTAGGATTGTGTACCGCTCGTGTCACACTGTGTTTTTGAGGCTTGAACCGATGCACATGTGGGAGTGTATACCGCTTGTGTCACACGTACACACGTGCGTGCATGTGCATGTGGCACGTGTGAGAGTGTGTACCGCTCGTGTCACACGTACACATGTGTGGGAGTGGTGTGTATGGCACGCGTGACGCGTACACACGTGTGAAGGCTAGAACCGAGAGGGAACCAGCTAGAACCGGGAGGGAACCGGTTAAAATCGGAAGGGAACCGCTAGAACCGGGAGGGAACCGGCGGTTATGCTCTGGAACTGGACGGTTCTCGATTTGGTGCTGAAACCGGCACGGCCTGTGCTTATTCCCAAGTCGAACCGGATGAATTCGGTTCAACTTGGCGATTTTTAAATTATTGCTTCAGAGCATGAAACTCACTAGTTATGATAAAAAAAAGTTTATTTGCAACTTCCATTGTCAATTGAAACTGGGGCATTTTATTTAAAAGTAAAAAGAAAAAAGTGGGTAATAAATGTAGAAAGGGAATTTTATAATATTGTTATTTCAAGGGTACATGACCAAACTTGTGCTATATATCCTTTAAATAACATTATTATAAATTAGTCCGACCTTTTGTAAGAAGTACCAGTAATAATGAGTTTGCATAATGGATATGTTTATAACAAAAAGATTCATTGTTCCTGACCATGACTCACCTTAATTGTTATTTAAACATGTACCCTTGAAATAGCATTATTATAAAAGTTCCTTAAAGGTTTGTTTTCTACCTTCACATGACATTTCTTTTTTTTTCTATTTTATTTTTCCCCAATATGCACCGCACTTTGAACCTTCATAGTAAGAAATGATAAGATAATTCTCAGCTTTGGATCTTGAAAAGCTGAGGTTAAAGCTCGACGCCTTGATTGTCGATAGTTCACCATGGGCTAGATAAGTAGTATACAAGTTGTTCCTCCTTCCCGGTCCTCTCTTACCATGGAAACGTCCTCTTAATACTCTAACACCCACATCAGATATAGACCAAACTGCCTCACGATGTTTTGAACCCAACTCATGTACCACTTTAATGGTCGAATAGCCCATTCGAATAGCCCATTCCTTGGGGCAGTACGTTCCAAAAGCTCGGGCCCAAGCGGTGAATAGCTAACATCTAGGTGCAAAATCTTCCCATCGATGTGAATTCTTCTGGAAATATTAGTTTATTATCCCTAGTATAACTTCTATCTGTTAAACAACACTGCTTCCACCCAGCATCACCGAATAACTAAGGTCGTTTTATCCCAGACCTTCAAGGTACGAAGCCGATGTCAATTTTGGACAATTGGGTTCAAACCATGTCGGTCCAAAGTGACAGTAAAAAACTTAACTACATATCATAGGTCTAAAGTCACGGTAAGAAAATTGTTCATAACTTTGATCTAAAGTCATTGCCACCTTGGCCTTGAAGATCTAAAATGGAGCATTTTGGGACTAATAAAAAAATTAAAATAGGGCATGAATATGAAAAATAAGAACCCAAAGGCACTTTTACCATAACAATAACATAGACATAAATTTTGTATCCTAAAAACAAACACTTCGGTCTTTGAAAACACTCTGGAAGTTCTAATCAAGGTTTTTCCAGATGT